TTTAGTGTAAATGAAAATAGCACTACTTTTGATTGAAGAACACATACTTGATATCAGATATGCTTTCAGTGCAGTTCTTACCAAGTAAGTCTTACGGAGTAGCCAAGAGCTATTGATATTCTCATCACATTTACAAACCTGTGTTGGAGGTAAAGTGAAGTAGGGGAACCCTGTTAAGACTATAGCATAATTTGTTGTTTATGAATTGCTGTTCCTCTACAAAAATGTTAATTAACCTTATTGTTTAAAACAGTCAACTATTGTTACAGTAATCTTGTGATTCTTGTAATTGACAGATCCTAAGATTTCTTACTTTGTGTGTTTGACAACACTACATATAGTTGGTGGTTCCCATTTTGTATGAGTCTCACATATCACCAGGGGAGGGAGAGATTGAAAAAATGTGATAGTAAAACCACCTAACTGGCAGGGAAAGTCAGGGGCATCTTTAGTACCTGGTTTCAGAGTAACAGCCGTGTTAGTCTGTATCCGCAAAAAGAAAAGGAGGACTTGTGGCACCTTAGAGACTAACCAATTTATTTGAGCATAAGCTTTCGTGAGCTATAGTTCACTTCATCGGATGCAGTGAGCTGTAGCTCACGAAAGCTTATGCTCAAATAAATTGGTTAGTCTCAAAGGTGCCACAAGTACTCCTTTTCTCTCTAGTACCTGAAACTATTTAAATAGATTCAAGATTCTTTCCCTTTAAAATAAGTGTAGATAAACATGACTTTCACTAAAACTGGATGTGTGATAACTTCCCTTCTATTTGAGGGATATGTCTCTATCAGTTACAGCGTGAACTAATTTGCAGCAATAACAATGCAAGATCCATTTAGTTTGATTTATCTTTTTGTCTGCAGGCCAACTCCAGTAGTATATGTGAATGTTAGTCAAGGACACTCTGAGAACAAGGAGTTCCTTTCATGTAGGTACAAAGTTAATAACATTGATGTAGCTGGATTTTTTAGGGCCAACTGTTCACCCTTTCTCATGTGCATTTGCTTTCGTAGATCAATGGGGAAAACCGCTTTGGAGCTCAAATTACGTTACAGATTTTGGTTCCTATCAGCATACAAAAGAATCGTATTACAAACACAAAAAATATAACAAGAACACAGGTATTTTTTTTTTAAACTTTTTCAACGTGCAATTCCTGTTCCACAGACTTTCAGGAGAGCAGGTTTAGACCCTTACTGATAAATAAAGGTAAGATTGTCGTGGAGGTTGTGGAATCTGTGATCTCCAGCAACCTCCGTGACATTGGGAGCCCCCGCAGCTGACCAGCTGCTGCAGGCATCAGGGGACCCAGCAGCAGCCCAGCCTCCAAGGACCCTCTTGCAGATGCAGGTAGCAGGACCCATAACTGACTGGCTGCTGCCACTGGTGGTGACCATGGTGGTGCATGGTAGAGGGACCCGAGCTGCTCAGTGGCCATGGGTGCCTCCCCAGAGCTCCCCTGCCATTATGGGTGGTGGGGGACCCCCACCCCCCACAGGGCGGCAGGGGCCACTGGGCAATGGGGTCTCTGCAGCTCCCAGCCACTGCGGGGGGTTGGGAGGGGCACGGAGACAGGGTGCTGGGAGCTGCAGAGACCCCATTCTCCCTCCCCATTTTGTCAGGGATGTTTTTAGTAAAAGTCAGGGACAGGTCACAGCTTCTGTGATTTTTTTGTTTATTGCCCATGACCAGTCCATCACTTTTACTAAAAATATCCATGACAAAATCATAGCCTTACTGATAAAACATATTCAAGCAGGGTTTTCCTACAGCATCCAGGAGTATTTTCTCTAATTTTCTATTTCAAGGTTTACATACTGTAACCTGTCAAATTCATTCTGCTAATCTAGGAAGTTTGCCAACCTAAGAGCATGTGTTTAAAGCTGGGTCTATACAAGTGCTAATTAAAAACAAAAAACCACATTTTTTATAAGGGAATGCCTCAAATGTATTAGCAATATTAGGTCAGGTCTTCATTTTCCAATGTGAGAAATGAAAAGTAGGCTAGATTTTACTGTAGCTTATTTAAGTCATCAGTTTTAATGATCTAAAAGTGGCAAAGGAGCTTAAAGTTCAAAATAAGGACTTAACATATGTAGAACCATTTTTAATATTTCAACTGTGAAATGTTTCAATTTTTTTTTTTTTTTTGCAATAATGGATCTTCACTTATTTTAGCTGAACACTTAGAAATTATTCAACTCATGGACATAAGAGGTCATTTACCATCTGCACCAAGCCAAATGTGCCAATGTTTAAGTATTCCAAAAATACAGCAAAGGGAGTGACAGTACAAGGACATCATGTTGTGATCGCTCATTCAAAGGTCCATTTCGATCAGTGGAAAAGGCTGCTATTGAGCAGAACATCACTTGCAGAGGTAAAGTTCAGGACTTCTCTGTGGAACTTTCGGAGCTGTTTATGTATGCCTTTCAAGGCAGAGGATGATGATAGCTTTCTTTTGTAGTTTACCTCTTTCAGAAGTTTATCTGCCAAATAGTGCAGCCACAGGACGTTGCTATGGGGGTGATAGTCAGCCCAGCTGTTGGAATTCTCTTCTTTCATCTGCCTATAGATATCAAACTGGTAGTCACCTCTTCCTTGGAACAGCTCTTTGTCAGTAGAAATATCACAGAAGACCGTTAACCCATCTTTCTCCATCCTAGACAGGGTGTAATCTATGATGTTCACATGAATTCCTTTCGTGGGGATTGTATAAACTGCTCCATTCAAAGTATAACTGAGCTCTTTCAAGTTGGTTTTCTTCACCAGAATATTCCCCCAATGCAAGTCTCTGTGCTCAAAGTACAGTCCCTCCTCTGCCACAGCCAAGGAAGCAGTAACTTGATGCAGCAGGCTTTTTGCTGTTGCCACTGAATTTAGCTGATTCCTCATATTCTCCAAGTTATTGCCTCCAAATTCAAATTCCAGGATCATGAACAGCTGCTCTTCTCCAAACAGGTCGGGCCGGTCATTTTCAGATCCATTCAGTTCATGATATTTGTCCCAGGCTTTCAGAAGATGCTTGGGATATGCCCCCTGGACACAGTGCACAGAGTACAAGTCAATGAACCCTACAGTCCTGTTCTCTACCTCCTGAGATAAAAGGCTGAGCTCCTTTGAGATTATCATCTCTGGCAAGATCTCACTGAAGCTCTTCTGAGCTTCTCCATTGACCCTCTCAGTCCCCTCAACAGGAATGATTTTTAAAGCCACAGCTCCTTTCTCACTGTTCGTTTGGAACACCTCCCCAAATACTCCTTCCCCAATCTTCAAACAGTTCTTCATCTTATCTGGGGGAATACATTCGTCAAAGGAGATAGGACCCTCCTGCTGGCATTCCCCATACACCTTCTCTGCATCTGTAAGCATCACCTCCAGAACAGAATGGGACTTCATGGGAGTCAGCAGGAGCACGGAGGAAGTGGGCCAGTTAGAGTAGCCGACACTTTGAATGAACAGGGATTTATGGTACCCTGCAAGCTGAGATTTGGAGGAAGGAGTACAAGGGATGCTGCCACAGGCACTTTCCTCAGTGGAAACTTTCTTTTTCTTGTGAAGAGAGAGAGATGCTCGAGCCCTGGCCCACCACTGGGAGTCATTAAGGAAAGAAAAATCACACAGAAAAGACGACGACATCTCTAGGGCATTTTTCTCCATTCCTCTTTGCCTCATTTGTTCTTGAAAGAAGGAGCCATCAGCCTGCTGCCATGGAGTTTTTGAATTCTTGCGTCTGACTGGGCGGCGCCTTGCCTGTTTCCCCCATCGGCTGGAGCTGAACCCACTGATACAGGCCTTTTTACTGGTGCCTCTACCACCATCTCTGGGAATGACCTTGCTACTTCTGGACTTCTTTTCTGAGATTACAGACAAGGCAGAGGGGGAAACTGGCTGCTGACAATCGTTTTCCCTCCAGGAGGGCCAAGCATCCAGATTCTTATTATTAGCAGCCAACCAGTTTGGTACCACTTGAGAGCTTAAGACCACCAACGGCTGAAGGTGGTGTCTGCTTTTGTCTGTGCTAAGGTTCCAGCTCCTTTTCTGAGAGCTTCCTCTCAAATCATCATGGGGCTCATCAGGACTGGTATTACCTTGTACCAGGACATGGGGCTTCCCCGTAATGGGCAGTGCAGCCCCAGGACAGCTAGCACGTTTCTGCAGGCCTAGGCTAGTTTCTAGTGGGCACGGCCCCGGTGTAGTCCGCTGAGCCCTCTCTGCCTTTTGTGAGGTCAGTCTTTGGACATGATCTCTACTCACAGTTTTATGAGGGGGGGATACAGGCTCGCCCCGAGTAGGAACAGACGGTCTGTGTTTACCCGGAAATGATGAGGGAACAAGCTGGATCAAGTCCCGCTGGGCGGCTCCGCAGGGTACGAGGACACAGCGGCTCTCGGATAACCGGCAAGCAGGCGGCCTCGGGGCCCCGGGGGGAGATGCTGGGCGCGCCGGCTGGCTCCGGCCCCGCCAGTCTCCCGCCAGGGGGCTGGCGCTGGGCCGCTGTGGGCCACGAGAGAGCCGGTCGCTGGCCCCGGCCAGGGGCGGGGAGAAGAGCTCCAGGCTGCCCTCCAGCCCTGCCGCGGGCTCCGCCGCGCTGCTCCCCGGCGTCAGGGAGCTCAGCTCGGCCAGCAGGGGCCGGGGGGGCCCGTGACGTCGGCGGGGGACCCGGCCCGAGGCCGCCCTCCCAGCGCCGGGGGAGCGGTTCTCCTGGCCGCCGCCCAGGATACTCTCCTCCGCGGGGAGCGGCCGGCTCTCCGCCCCGGCCGGCGCCGGCTGCTGCGGGGTGCTGCAGAGCAGGGGGGGCCCCGCCCTGCGCCCCGGCGACGGGAGCGCCCCCCAGCGGCGCCGGCGGGTGACGTGCCTCCCCGGCGGGGTGGCGGGCGCGGCGCAGCCCTCGGCGGGGGCCCGGTTCTCCTTGGCCGGCCGCGCGCTGCCGCCCCTCCGGCGGGCCGGCCCCCGGCGCGGCCGGCGGGGGCCAGGGGGCTGGAAGTCGGGGTCCTCGGAGCCGGAGGACGAGGCGGCGGAAGCCGAGCCGGCGGAGGCTGGAGCCGAAGAGCCGCTCGCGGTCCTGCGGCGGCGACAGCCAGGGCGCCGGGGGCGGGAGGCGGCGCAGGCCGGCGCCCCGGCGCGTGTAAGTGCGGAGCAGCCGCGGCTGGGGCCTCGCAGCCAGCTCCATGGCGCGGCCGCGCCTCAGCCAGAGCCGCCGCGCCCGCCCGCCGCCCTTTCAAACCGCGTCTCGCGAGGCCGGGCGAAGTCCCGCCCACCGGGCCGCTCCTGCCGCAGCCTCCCCCGTGTCTGTCACCCCCCCGCGCCCCGTGCCCGTCACCCCCCCCGCGCCCTGTGCCCGTCACCCCCCCCCCGTGCCCGTCACCCCCCCGTGCCCTGTGCCCGTCAGCCCCCCTGTGCCCGTCACCCCCCCCGTGCCCTGTGTCCGTCACCTCACCCCCGTCAGACCCCCCGCGCCCTGTGCCCGTCACCCCCCCGCGCCCTGTGCCCGTCACCCCCCCCCGCGCCCTGTGTCCGTCTCCCCCCCGTGTCCGTCACCTCACCCCCGTGTCCGTCAGCCCCCCTGTGCCCGTCAGCCCCCTGTGCCCGTCACCCCCCCCGTGCCCTGTGTCCGTCACGCGCCCCGTGCCCGTCACCCCCCCCGCGCCCTGTGTCCGTCAGCCCCCTGTGCCCGTCACCCCCCCCGTGCCCTGTGTCCGTCTCCCCCCCGTGTCCGTCACCCCCCGTGCCCGTCACCCCCCCGTGCCCTGTGTCCGTCACCTCTCCCCCCGTGCCCGTCACCCCCCCGTGCCCTGTTTCCCTGACCTCACCCCCCCATGTGCCCGTCACCCATCCGCGTGCCCGTCACCCCTCCCATGCCCTGTGCCTGTCACCTCCCCCCCGTACCCTTCACCTCCCCCGTGCCCGTCACCCCCCCGTGCCCTGTGTCCATCACCTCCCCGTGTCCGTCACCTCCCCGTGCCCTGTGTCCGTCACCTCACCCCCGGGCCCGTCACCACCCTCCCGTGCCCTGTGTCCGTCACCTCTCCCCCCGTGCCCGTCACCCCCCCGTGCCCTGTTTCCCTGACCTCACCCCCCCCGCGTGCCCGTCACCCCCTCCCATGCCCTGTGCCTGTCACCTCCCCCCGTACCCTTCACCTCCCCCCCCGTACCCTTCACCTCCCGTGTGCCCTGTGTCCGTCACCTCCCCCGTGCCCATCACCCCCCCCGTGCCCCGTGTCCGTCACCTCACCCCCGTGTCCTGTGCCCGTCACCTCACCCCCGGGCCTGTCACCACCCCCCGTGCCCTGTGTCCGTCACCTCTCCCCCCGGGCCCGTCACCCCCCCGGGCCCTGTGTCCGTCACCTCTCCCCCCGGGCCCGTCACCCCCCCCGTGCCCGTCACCTCCCCCCTTCCTGTCACCCCCCCATGCCCTGTGTCTGTCACCGTCACCTCCCCCCCCATGCCTGTCACCTCCTCCTCGTGCCCGTCAGCCCCGTTCTCCCCATCTGTCTCCCCTGTGCCTGTCTCCCCTTAGGTGCCCCGTGCCCATCACCCCTCGGATGTCCTATGTATGTCACACACACTGTGCCGGGTGCCCTGTGTCTCTCACACGCAGTCTGCCCATCTCTGTGCTCCCTGGGTGACTTTGTCTTGCCCTCATGAGATGACGAGGCCCCTTCGCTCTCAGTGTTTCCCGCAGGGCACTTGCGTCTCTGGGGGGAGATGGACCAGCCCTTCACTGGTTCCGCTCCATTGAGCCCCTGGTGACAATGGCCATATTCTGTATTGAACCAGCTAAGGCCTTCAGGCTCTCACCTCCTGGGGCAGAGAGCTGTGTCTCCAGGACTGGCTGTGCAGCACAATACACGCTGAGCGGATAGCACTGTATAAACAACAGAGCACTCACCCTGAATATAGTGAGTGCCGAAATGTTGACGTAGCTTTGGCTTTATCATATAATCCAAAAAATAGTCTCTGCTGTAGTGAATTCTGGGGACTCCACTGTTCTACAGTGCAGATGAGTCCTTTGTGCTCCAGGCAAATGCTTGGGGATAGCTCTCCAATACATTTGCCCCACATACTGCAAGTAGGTTGTGGTCACACATCTCTAGGTGAAGACCACCAGACCAGAGACACTTTGGAGTTCATCTCTCCTAAACTGACCAATTGGTGGTGTCGTGAGCAATCTGACCCTGAGCCTCCCTTCCTCTGCTGGTAGCTGAACATGCCACCACTACAAGTATCACCAGTCTTGGGAAGAAGGTGGCAGACAATGGGATTGGGCTTCTGGGATTCTTTGGGCATTTTATTAGGCATGCTCTGGGCAAATGGTGTGTGGGAAACTACCAAGATTTTCTACTACTCTCTTTCCAGAATACAACAGTCTGCACAATAGGGAAGGAATGGTCTCTTCCATTCGGTACTAGAGAGACCAAATTATCGGTGAGTGGTTTCTTGGTATCTGCTGTTACACAGATGTACTAGGGAAACACAAACTAGTTACTGTTGGTCTTTCCAGAAATGGGAAATGCAGCACCCAGCAGATACTCTGTTAGTAAATCTACATAGAATGTAACAACATAGGCTCTCTGTGGTGCAAGCAGTGAGCTAAGTCCAAGATTCAGTTTAGTTTGGTTTTAACACACAGGCGCATAATGGTTCTGGATGTTAAAAATAAATAAATAAATAAATAAAAATTGAAAGTCCTGACCTGATAGACTATATTTTCCTAGATCCATATAGCGATCTTGTAACTTTAATGTTGGGGCACATTTTTGTGTGTATCTGATTACTTGATTTGAGCCTGTCATGGTGCTTGGTATGTGGCCCTTTAGTTCTCTTGTTTTATATTAGGGTTGCTGGTGGTAGTGACAGCTACTGCAGGGCTGTGCTGCATCTGCTGTGCCATGCATATCTAAGCGCTAGAATAAATTGCCTAGGGAGATTGTGGAATCTCCATCATTGGAGATTTTTAAGAGCAGGTTAGACAAACACCTGTCAGGGATGGTTTAGATGATACTTAGTCCTGCCGTGAGTGCAGGGGATTGGACTAGAAGACCTCTCAAGGTCCCTTCTGGTCCTGTGATTCTGTCCTGGGACATTGGCTTTGTAGTGACCAATGCAGTGAGTCATACAGCATTATTGAAAAGTGGAGTAACAAGTGTTGCATGCTGTAACCAAGAATGGCTTGCTTTTAATACACACACAACATGCATTTAGTGAAATGGCTTGTACATTCTAGAAGTCTCAAACTATTTCCATGCAAATTGCAATCGTGAACCCCCTGCTTAGAGTGAAATAGTTTGATTCCATGCCATACATTTTGCTTTGAGAAATATTTTCAGTGTTGATATCCCTTTCACTTTCAGGGCAGCAAAGAAGTGCAGTACCAATGTGTGGAATGTGCTATCCTGGCCGACAAGAGAGAATGTTACTGTGATAGCTGAGTTGCCTTTAACTGATTCTCAGCAGGTATACACAAAAGCTGTGCGTGTCTGTCTTTTCTTGCTAAAAATCTGTTAACCCACATTTGTGGGATAGAATCTCTGCAGAGACACCTATGAAATCCTTACCCTGAATGACATTTAGGTACTAAGTTATCTCCTGACTCTGCAGAGCAAGGGTGGAGTTTTAATCATGGTGCTTTCAGCTCTCAGGAGAGACTCTGCTCCTACAAGAGATGTTGCCATCTCCTCTAGTTATCCACAGAGGCTATTCCTCCAGAGGATGGCATTTCCAGTGCTGCAAACATTGATTTTTCTAGGTACCGTCTTACTATTGATTCTTCCATAAATCCAAGCAGAGCAGGGGGATGCTGGGTAACACAACCCCAGCACATTAGAGTCTCAGTTGTGTGAGTGGACTGCAGTTATTCCATTTCTAACCCTCTGGCTAGAAAAACATCCAGCAGGTCTTAACAGACTTTGAGGTGAGAGGTCTGAGATGTAGGGGGAAGAGATAACTCCTTCTGTGAATTTCTTAAATTGATGAGCAGTCCCCATAACCAGAACTGCAAAATCTGGGCATCTTGGGTGCAATCCTATCTGGAATTTGGTCAGTCCGAGCTCCAGTACGGGTTCGAACACACTCTGTTGATTGGGATGCAGTGGGAACTGGCTGATGCATCTGAGTTCTGAGTTTGGAAAACCACTATGTTTGTGGAGGAGGCAGAGGACCTCTTTGCTAGACTATGATTTTGCCAGCTTTTCTCTGAAGAAATGAAAGGTCTAAAATAATAATTTGCTTTGTCTTTTCCTTCCCTCTTTTGTAGTTCTTAGAAGATAGAACTGATCTTCTGGTCATTGGGGAAATCACCTTCAACAAACATCTCAAGATAATCATAGAATATCAGAGTTGGAAGGGACCTCTAGGGCCTGAAGGAAGAGAACCACAAAGCTGAGGTATCCAAGCACCATGTAGGCAGCTAGGGCCCTTTCTCAGGATGGAAATGAAGGAAGCAACTGAGGGGAGGAATGCAAATGTTTCTGCTGAACTCTTAAAATAGAGTGATTTAGGAGGGCCTGGACTCATTGGCTGAGTTCAATTGAACCAGGATTTGGACCACAGAGAGAACAAAAGGGAATGAAGAGAATGTATTGGTGTACACAGAGAAGTTATCTGCCTGGTTGGGAATATGCATACTGTATTCCCAGTCATGCAGAGAACTATCCTAAGTCCAGAAGGTAATTTCTAGTTGGAAACACAAATATATGTCAGCTTCAAAGAAGTTTCAATGATAGTAGATACATTTAAGCACCTCCTGGAAGCCTGATGGGGGTGGGGGAGTGGGGAATACAGCCAATTAGGATGAGCAGCTGTTTCATCTTAGATGGGCTGCATTCATGTTCCCTCTTAATCATCTATTTGAATCTAAATCCCAACATTTTTATAAATGTCAGGTGGGAAATTGGCCACTTGATACAGTTATATTTAATAGGCACATTTGTCCTCTCACGTACATCAATGTAATTCAGGAGAAACCCCAGGGAAATCAGCGGGCTTGCGTCGGTGTACATGAGAAGAGAATTCATGTTTCAGGAGAGGCTGTTAAAGTAGTGAGATAAATCTGAGCCGTGTATAACTGTAGTGTATTGAGAGAAGCAAGAGGTCGTATAACTGTAGTGTATTGAGAGAAGCAAGAGGTCGTATCACAGGGATTATCAGAAATATAGCTCTGCTCGTGCTCTGATGCCTAGTGTGAAGAAAGACAAGGGGCAGATACAGTGGTACTGGAGCATCATTTCAATACACAAAGTAACCTCTGTCACTCAACTGTATTGTCTCTATTTTTCAGTGTTTCTTTTTAGTTAGCAAGTACTTGAGCCTTTTCCTCCCATTGGTGGAAACCTTTACCAATGAGCTCGGCTCAATAGAATCTCCTTTCTTGCCAGCATCAAAGCAAGAGGAGTTTGAGGTATTTACTCCATCCGCAAAATATGGCCACATCTGTATTTGGAAAAAAGGTGTATTTTTAACAAGTTAACGAGGCTCCTTGCTTGGCATCAGCTAATGTATTAAAGCTACAACTGCCTTGTCTTCACCAGGATTTCAATGTGTTAGTTAACATGTTTTAAAGTTGCACCTTTTCCCCCCAGTGGAGACAAAAACTATATTATAGTCATTATTATTGTCATTAGGGGACACTGAGACAATCACTTCACCCAGAGACTTCTTAAGGAGTCTGAGTGAGTTTAACTAGAAGTAGAATGATACAAAATTAGCATTACGCACATTAAGTGGATTAAAATTGGCTAATTGAAAGGACTCAGATTGGAAATGGGAATCTTCATCAAGCAGGTGTTATTCTAGTTGAGGCCCATGAGAACTGGTTCTTGGCCCTGCACTGCTTAACATTTTTTGTCAGTGGCCTTGAAGAAACCATAAAATGATAAACATAAAACTGAGAAAGTTTACAGATGACCCAGAGATTGAGGGAGCAGTAAATAAAGAAGAGGACAGGTCATGATACAGAGTGATCTACATCGCTTAGTAAGCAGGGCACAAGCAAATATTATGAGTTTAAGATGGCCAAATGTAAAGTGTCCCTTCTGGCGTTATAATCTGTGAACTCACTCCCCTAGTTAAGACAAAGCAGTTATACTGGAGCATTTGTTAAACCACCCTTGATTCTATTCTAGATTACTGTCATCTTGCTGAAAACGCAAGTAGTCAATTCCTTGCCTGTTGTCATAGGAAGCTCTGTTGGTGGATTTTTGCTGTTGGCTTTCATTATTTTCATCCTTTTTAAGGTAAATATATTTGTTGACATAATTACAAGCACATGTCATTCTCGTTGATTAAGATCCCAGCAGTCCAGTGACTATCCTGTCCTCAGTGAGAGTTCACATTCAGCTGTGGATATTCTGATATGTTTTACTGAGGGAGGGAATGCAGGACCATTGGGGTTCTCCCTTACAGTTTTTTCAGCAGGGTAATTAATTAATGTGAATTAATACATTTTTAAAGTTTCCCTGAGTTATGAAATAATTTGTTTTAAAAAACAAACAAATCCTGAAGGATCCCAAAGTCTTTCTCAAGGCCTTACTGTCCTGGCCAGATTACAACTCAGGCAAATGTATACAGCCTCTTAAAATTTCCTCCACAGTTTCAGTTGGAGAAGGTATTCATTTTTATTTTCTCTTAAACTGCTAAACAGCTGCCACGTTCCACTCCAGAAGTGGCTTCATTTTAGTAGAGTGTGGGTATGTGGAGGCGGGAGGAGAAAATCATGGGAGGGGGTGATTCCATAGCTACATGCCAATACCTTTTGAAGGGTTTAAGGATGTAAGGTGCTATAGAACTGTAAGAAATTATAATTGGGACAAATTCTGAGTTCCTTATTCAGCTTTTGCTCAGTTCCTTATTCAGCTTTTGCTCAGTCCTTAAACTTCCTCTGACTTATTGTGACTTTAACTGAATAGGGGGAACTCAGAATTTAGCTCATTGTTATAATGTATATACACAAACATAAAGGACACAATACATGTTTTTAATGCTCTTCTTGATGTCTTTCAAAAGACTTTTGAAGAGACTTTTTGTGGCGTTTTCAAAAGAAACTATAAAAATATGATGGTGGACATGATTCCTGAGGATCAGAATGAGTAGAGCAGGATTCTGTACAGGAATTGTACACTCTTCCTGAGAGCTCCAATATCAAAGACCAGCCGGAAGCAAAGCAAATCAGTCTGTGAGCTAGGATGGATCTTGAGACTGCCATGGTTTGCTCCTGGTTTAATTTAGGGACCTTGCACAACCCAGTCACCTGCTTATGCAGCTAGCTTGGATTTGCTGACTGTTTGTCAAAATTGGATTTTCCTAAATTAACAAACTACAGAATCCTCATTTCAAATTTTGCCTAAATGTAAATGTAAATATGGAGAAAATTTAGTTTGGATTGTGTGTAATTTATGCCTTGTTATCACATTCTTTGTTGTTTTGATGCCGAGTTGGTTTTAAATGGACTTTAAGAGCATGCAACCGCAAACTAGTTTGAAAATAGAAATGGTTGAATGGAGGCTTCACTCTGGTCATTGTGAGTGAAGTTAGCAAAGCACCTCAGATGCATGCATTCTTGTACTTGTTTGATTTAACACAGCAGGGCAGTCTCGTTGCTCTCAGCCATTATTCAGTTAGTGGGATACGTGGATTCTTGCTGATTGGAATCATAAGTGTGTCCAGAGGTGACCATGTAAACAAGCAGAATGGTATAGGAGAAACACTCTCCTCCCCACACCCAGAACAAAGAAGGTTCTTGTTTGGCCTAGTAACCCAAAATGCTTTTGTGTTTTCCTTTGGGATCTCCAGACTCTCGTGAGAACAAAGGGTTAATAATCAGATTCATGCCTTTCAGTTCTGGGTTAATTGTTTTCAAATTCTGATTAGGTCACAAGTGAAAATGTGTTTGCTAGGTTTCATACTAGGTCCCGATGGACTATTTCCGCATCAGAAATCACTGCACCATGATGGCATGATTGGCAATGCCTGCTCAGAAGAGTACAAGAACTGGAATGGTAGCAGTGTTGCAGGTCTTGAGTCACTGGCAAATCTGGAGTTGAACAGAGCAGGATTGTTGCAGGTCAGGATTGTGCTTTATTGCATAGCAATGTGGAGTCCCAAGACTGGAACAGCAGGGGGTATTGCAGGTCAGAGGTAACTGCATTTACAGAGCAGTGTGCGTGGGAAGTTTGCTTAACAACTGCCTGTCCCGTGGTTGGCTCTAGTCAGCACCTTCAGTCCTTGTGTTTTCTGAGCATGAAAATGACTACTGACCTAAAACATTTTTTTGAAAGCAAAAATATCTTTAAATATTTCCATATCTGGCTGTAGCTGTCCCTACCTGTGTAGTTTGCTGTTTTATTTCTGTCACATTTACTTCACCTAAAACCACTGAAACTTGAGTGTGTGTTCACTTGAAATGAACAGAATTAACCTAGATGTTCATTCCAACAAGAGGAAAGCAGATTGGCCCACCACCTGCTCATGTCTTAGCCAATACACACCATTTCATGGGTAGCTAACAGCTTCTACGTAGCCTGTGCTGGTGTTTTTAATGTCTCGGTGTAGCAGTCAATATGTACTGTTTCATGGGAAACTAACAGCTGCCCTGTGGCCTGCACTGGAGTGTCTTTAATATCCTGATGTAGCAATTGGTCGGATGGCAGATGGCTGTGATGTGGTGGTGGTGCAGCATGACAAGTACCTGAGTTTAAGTGCAATGTTGGGTCTCCTCAGTCTACGCAGGTCCGAGAAGGTAACAAGATACTCTGCAAAAGCACGTCCTAATGGACAACTCACAAAACCACAGTGGTAATGGTTGTTGAGTAGACAGCACGTCTGTTCCCTCCAAGGTAGAGCTTAAGCAGGAGTTTTGAATCTGTGGTCCCAGGATATAGAGGAGCTTCAGAAACCTGCCAGGCCTTTGGTTAGTGCCAGAGTTGGCAATCCAAGAAACTCATTTGTGGATGGTTTGGAGGGAGGGACAGACCACCTCTTAAAATCCCCATAGAACATCAGATCAGAAAAAGGACAGACTGTTTCTTTCTCTTTGGGTTCTAGCTGTGGGTCACAGTTCAGGACAAGCTCTCCTCTCCCTTTCTGTCCAAGTGCCTCCCCCTTGAGGTCTCAGGCTCATGCCTTTACCTCCCTGGGATGGAATCCTGTGAGTCTCCCACACTTAAATCGGGGTACTAGGTTACAACCCCACTGTGTACAATCCATGCTTACTCAGCATGCCCAGCTGGACAGAGTACCTGCAGTTCTTCCCTTCAGGGGTTATGACCAGTAGTGAATACAATGACCCAAACAGCCTTCTGAAGCAAAGTATTATTTAATCTGAACAGTAAGAACACAGCATAACAGGAGAAAAGAATTAAAACAACAAAAGGCCTACACACACATCTATTTTATTAGGAGTCATTCCGTCTTCTACATAGGGAACCTGGTAGGTCTGTCCTCCTAGACATCTCCAACCTCTCCTGGACTCCCTTTTAGTGAACTGAATTCTTGAGAGCCTTTGTGTCTTTCTTTTGTTCTCCCCCCTTTCCTCACAGGACTGAGACATTGCTGGAGAAACCTGTTTAGCAAGCCTACAGAGGGAGCTAGCCAGTTCATCACAGCACTGTTCTTCAAATGTTTGTCCCTCTTTTCTGGGAACATTTCTTGACAAATACGATAGTGAATTATCACAATTTATTAATGCAGTACCCAACTTTACAGTACTAAGACAAACTCACAGCACATATAGTATTTATAGATTTATTGCAGACAAATCCAAAACCATCATACTGTACGAGGCATGTGTGTGGTCCAGCTGAGTCACCTTTAATAAAGCTCCTGAGAGACGCTGTCAATTGATGGATGTGAACACTACCTATGAAACAGAAAAGAATAATTCTCAGCCGTCTGATTTTTGGTTGACATCATAGGGAGTTGAGGGTATGCATCACCTCACAGGATCAGGCCATTAGATTGTATGACCTTTGGGGCAGGCACCTGTTATCTGTATGGCACTGAGCCACAGCTTTATAGTGCTATGTGCTCTATAGCACTACATAAATTATTAATAATAAAAGCGACATTATTTACTGCATCAGTATTTCCAGTGAAAATTGACCAGCAGAGGATTATTCATTTTGGTTCACAGGAAGGAATCACATCCATAAAACAATAGCATCTCTTAGCATAATTATATGTGACTCAGCTGGCCACATGCACATTTCTAGAGATCATTCAAACAGATGGTAACCAGAGAGGGAAATGGCTTCCTCCACCAAGGAGAGCTCACAAAACGATTAACCTTGTCATTTTCTGGGGGAGATAATGGCTTAACATTGTCACTAATTACAGTCAAAATAGATGTATGCACCATTGAAAAATATGTACCGGGAATACTGCAAATAGCTCTCCGGGGAGGATATTGTGGTGGATGGGAAAGAGTTCTATCTTTTGCTGACTCCTTATGGGTTTGGAGCTAATCTGTTCCTCCCCGTTCAGTTTCCTAGAATGGTCTGTTAGTCAGCCCACAGGAGGCACTTCTTTACCGTGTCTGTTACCTTCAAAGACTTGAATAGACTAGAGGCACAAGGTTGGTCCCATGTTGCACTGCCACCAAACTATGTTCACTTCTTCCATACAAACTACCTCTGTGGATGAAAACTGAAGGTGCTCAGCGTGTTGTAAGTTTGGTCACTTGTGGCAAAAGTGCAGCCAACCAGAACAAGAAAAGATCAAACACAGGGTCTGAACATGATCTCACTTACACTGGAGTAAATCTAGGGTAACTACGGTAGTTATACCAGTGGGAGGCTAGCGTCAGGAACCCTGGAGCAGTGGAAAGATCTCTGTGTGTATATAAAGTCTGCTGCAGTTTCCACGGTATGCATCCGATGAAGTGAGCTGTAGCTCATGAAAGCTCATGCTCAAATAAATTGGTTAGTCTCTAAGGTGCCACAAGTACTCCTTTTCTTTTTGCGAATACAGACTAACACGGCTGTTACTCTGAAACCTGGAGCAGTGGGTATTGTAGTGAATGTTGATTCTGGTTGACTTATTTGTGTGGCTTCCAGGTGTCATGCCCTTGAGCAGGGACCTGATCACTGAGAAGAGAGGAGATGCTGTGAGAACCTATAGTGTAGATGAGCCTATTTGTTCGCAAGTCTAAAGGTTTATTAACATAGCCATTCTGCTTAACTGCATTTCTGTGACCATCACCACAAGCTGTTCATATAGGCCGCAGCAGAGGGAGTTAATGGCTAATCTAGCCTGCTTCCCACACTGGAGCAGGTGGAAAGGGTTGAGTTAACGAGGCTTCCTAAGTGGGGACTCAGCCAAGAGAAAACAGTTTAAGTGAGGGAATCAACTAACTTAGGTTCTTGAGCAAAAGTGGCTCTGTAGCTGAGCTTGGAAAGCCTGTGCTTTTGTTTATCCTGAATGACCTTATTTCTCTCTTGGTATAAAATCTCCTGTTTATTTTTAAAATCTGTTTAACTGTGGCTTCCTCACAATAAAAACCTGCAAGAGAGCTCTGTTTGTGCATGACTTTACTGCTGGCTCACACTGGCCCAACCTTGGGGATATGCTGGGCTTGTGCAGAGCAGATGAGCTGTGCTGTGACAACCTGTGGTGCTTCAGGGTAACTGAAATGAAGACTGTAGGAGAGGTACTATCCACACTAGTACTTGGAGTGGGGGAATCATAATGGGCTGCCTTGTTTTGAGGTTTCTTAAAACATTTTTTTTAGCCAAGAATCAGATTGACTCATTTTGGGAGACGGGAGTCTGTTCTCTGCTTTCTCTCCAGCAATCGGCAAACCTCGCAGTGTCTGGAAGTTCAGTTCGGACGTGCATCTATTAATATTTGACTGTGAAGGGACTGAAAGAAGCCACCAGTTCTTCCAGCATGGTCTCCTTTTTTCCAGCTTTCCCTAAATCACTCAGCACCTTGTTACACTCTCCATTTCTCACAGAAGAGATTGCTGCTGTGCAGTGCCAAAGAACCCTGAAGGGGGTATCTACAGTAAGATCATATTTGGTAAGTCTGGAGTAAAAAAAACCAACCCTGATATATGCCTCTTGGCTGCTCATCACATGAAAGAAGGTTATTTGTAGAAGGACATGCTAGGAATAGGAAATGAAGAGTTTGTGGTGCAAGTTGGGGTCATTTGGTTAAGGGGTTTCTCAGATACAGTCTCCTCTTTTCCCAATAAGCAGATGATGATGATAATCTAAGTGCCCTAAAACTGACATGTGTAGGGAGATTGTCTTGATAACTGGTATGCTGCAAGAGAGGCTGGGGTAGAGTTTGACCCTGAATGTGAGTTCATCTGCGCTTAAACCTCTAAAAACCAGGAAATACATAGTTAAGGTGCATTCCGCCCTCACAACTCAACCTTAATTCTGCCTTCTTTGAGCAACACACCAATAAGATACATACTAGCCCTCTACCCTTACAGATGTGATAGCATTCTTCAGGAACAGAGCACAGGAACACTAGGACAAAGTAATACCTCTTTGCTAAGGCAAATCTTGAGGTTAAGTCAGGCACAGCAATCGATAGTTAATTGCACCTGGCCTACACTCAGACACAGAACTTACTCAACACAAACCACCCCAGACTTGCCCTGAGGATTCCTCTGAAACATTGCCTTCACGCACCTCTTGCTAAGCCCTGGAGACCACTGTCTTGTATCCCAGCCTGATTGTCTTCTTGCCATGGGGATTGTCAGCACTCCTGTGCACCTCCGCTGACACAATATGGAATATGGTGTTGAAATGAGGCATACTTACACCACTCTGCATATCACAATGACAGCTCTTCCAACTTGCTCCAACTGATCCCAATACAGCTACGTGGCATGGAATGCAGATAAATGCTGGAATTCAAATTTGTGGAGTGGAACACAACACAAAGAAGGGCATGTTCTTATGGTCCTTCCTCATGTCTGCTTATTAATGGCACCACCCTTTCTGAGCCATTCCCAGTGGCTATTGCTAGCTCAAGGGGTCAGTGTTAAGGTGGCATTGCAAGGGTGGTATTTACCTTAATGTTGTATTTCCCTGCTTTTCAGAGGTTTTAAGGGTATCCGCTCCCGAAGTTCTGGAAGGGCACAAGGCAGCAATGGCGACCCTGAGTCTGTTAGCAACGTTTTTGGACAGTTAGTAGCATCTTCGCTATGGTGTGGCCAGTTGTCAACTTTAGAGATGATCCAAAGCCCATTGAAGTCAGTGGAAAAGCTCTCATTAATGGGCTTCATTGGGCCTGGAATCAAGCCTTTGCTGGGGAGGAGAATAGTAATTTTCTACTAGTGCTGTACCTAAATGTTGCCGACTCCAAGGGTCGGGAGAGGAATTCTTCAGAGTCATTCAAGGGGTTGTAACTACGAGTAATGGGATAAAACTAAGCAAAGGAGAATCTAGTGGGGGACATAATGGAAAAAGTCCTGAAAGTGAGATCTGCATCACTAGGGAATAGCTTCCCAAGGGAAATAGTGGGTACCAGAATACAGGCCATATTCTGGTCTCAGTCACATCAGTTTATAACATTCAAAAACCAGTTGGAGAACACTTCAGTCTCTTTGGTCACTCCATTACAGACCTAAAAGTTGCAATTCTTCAACAAAAAAACTTCAAAAACAGACTCCAATGAGAGACTGCTGAATTGGAATTAATTTGCAAACTGGATACAATTAACTTAGGCTTGAATAGAGACTGGGAGTGGATGGGTCATTACACAAAGTAAAACTATTTCCCCATGTTTATTCCCCCCGTCCCCCCTCCGTTCCTCAGACGTTCTTGTCAACTGCTGGCAATGGCCCACCTTGATTATCATTACAAAAGGTTTTTCCCCCCTGCTCTCCTGCTGGTAATAGCTCACCTTAAGTGACCACTCTGGTTACAGTGTGTATGGTAACACCCATTGTTTCATGTTCTCGATGTATATAAATCTCCCCACTGTATTTTCCACTGAATGCATCCGATGAAGTGAGCTGTAGCTCACGAAAGCTTATGCTCAAATAAATTTGTTAGTCTCTAAGGTGCCACAAGGACTCCTTTTCTTTTTGCGAATACAGACTAACATGGCTGCTACTCTGAAACCTTTAAATCTGCAGTAACTCCATTGACCTACTCTATAACTGAGGTTATACAGGCTTTCCAACTGAGGTTAGTCCAGTAGTAATACTGTAAACCAGTCTTCCACTGGGGAAGTGGGTGCATTAGCTCATTCAATCCTTATAGGCCTTGCTCCTCTCTAAGAGCTCTGGTTCTGTGCTCTGGTGTTCTTGCATCTTCACCAGGGCTTTGTTTTAGATTGTGTCTCTGGAGTTTTGCTCTATGAATCCCCAACCTTTAACTTCCCTTCTGCATCAAACATACCTTTAGTACAAATGCATCTGTTGTGCTGTGCATTGATTCTGTTCTATCCATCATGTCTCAATATCTTTATTTACCTTGGTGATATTGGTTATGGATGAATGAGGAACAGTATACCTTGATCTTTCTAATGTCTGGTGTTCCTGCAGCATGAATCCTGGCAAACTGTATCTGGCTGGATCTGGAGTTTCCTCCACGCAGTAGGAAACAGGCTTTGCTAAATGAATGAAGGACTTATTCTTCGAGTGCTTGTTCACGTCCATTCCACATTAGGTGTGCATGCGTCACATGCACGAGTGTCTGAAACTTTTTCCCTTAGCAGCTCCCGTCGGGCCCGTGGGCCCCCTGAGTGGCGCCACTGTGCCCCACATATATACCCCAGCCGGCCCGACCCCTTCCAGTTCCTTCTCACCATCCGTGGCGGCGTTGGAACAACCTCTCTCTCTCTCTTTCTGGAAGAAGAGCAGTCCCTTAGCCTTTAGAGTACCTGTTAGCAGTTTGTTTACATATCGACTGTGAACACTTAAGTGATTAGGTGCTTGGAAGCCTCCAGCACTGGCCCCGGGCCGCGGGGCATGCCGCAGGCTCACGGCTTCAAGGCTTGCGCCACATGCCGCAAACCTATGCCAGTTAGTGACCCCCATGTCTCATGTCTGCGTTGCCTGGGGGATGGACATCAAACTGAAAGGTGTAGGATTTGCAAGGTGTTCAAGCCAAGGAGAAGGAAAGAAAGAGACTTTGGCCTAAAACAACCGTTGATGGAGGCCACATTGCAGCCGCCGGGCGCAGAGCACCCAACGCTGGCTCAGGCTTTATCGGTGTGTAGTGCCCCGGAGCCGTCATGAGACCCGGCACTGGCGAAGCACCGTAAACTGTCGGCCCTGGAGCACCAGGCTAGGCCCCAGCACCGATCGTCCTCCCCGGTGCAGCCCCCAGTGCAGCTTAAAGGAAGGCGTGGTCGTTCCCTGAACAGGAGGCTGGTGCCTCCCAAGGCACCGAGCACCGACAAGAGCGGGAAGGCCGCGGTACCGGTGCTGGTACAGGCGGTCCCAGCGGCACAAGCCCCACCGAGCCCAGACCTAAGTGAGCTCAGTGTGGACGATGGGCTCGAGGGCATAACAGATCAGCCCTCTATGCCTGGCACCTTTGAGGCCGCAAAGGACCTCATCAAGCTGTCGGTGGCGAGCCCCCTCCAGCACCCATGCCTCGGATGCCGTCGAGGGGTAAGCTGGCAATGGTGTGCCACTCAAGGAGACCATCCCGGCACCGCTCCCGGACTTGGTCCCGGTCGAGCTCCGACTCCGCAGACTCGCACTTGCCAGCGGCCCAGAAGGAGGTTGCGGCACCAGCAGCAGGTCGACACAAAGAAGCGCCAGGAAGGGCACACCGCTCTCTGGCACTTCCCAGAGACTGGCACCGGGAGGAGCTGAGACGGCCCTCGCCAGAGGTCTCCCGCAGACGGTTCCGGTCCAGGGAACGCCGGCACTGGTCCCATCCCAGTCCCAGTCCCGGTCCCGCTCAGCCAGGAGCCGCTCATTCTCCCACTGGCGCAGATTGTTGGCACCGCCATGGCCTTCGCGATCGGCATCGCTGCAGTCCGGCGCTGGCTCCAGCCGCTATAGCTACCTGCACCGGGGCCCGGACAGCAGGGACCCTTAGGGGAGCTGGCAACGTCAATGGGGGCCGCCAGGCCATTGGCCCTTCTGGACCCCCTGGGCCTATCAGGAGCTCCAAGGCACCCCATCCAGGGGAAGTTACTTGGTGCGGCAGTCCCGGTCCCCGCACTGACACCAGACGGTGCTGGAGGCAGCCGTATCCAGGCTTCCAGCATCCCCCCAGCTTAGACCGTCCCATGGACTCCCGCCCCAGCCTGAGCCGGGGGCCCCTGCCACGGGAGATGGGGAACAGGAGGACCAACCAGAGGGGGTCGAGCAGCAGCTAACCTCCTCGTCTTCCCCCGATGAGGCGGTGGCAGGTACAGAGGTATCCGGCCCTCTGCCAATAGATCATAGAGCCCACCAGGAACTGCTGCGCACAGTTGCCCAAAATTTGGGGTTGCAGGCCGAGGAGACGGTTGAGCAGGAGGACCCCATGGTGGACATTTTTGAGCCCCAAAGGGCCATCCAGAATAGCGCTCCCGCTCATTAAGACCATTCAGTCTATCTATAAGACTATATGGCAGACACCGACCTCCAATGGCTAAAGGAGTGGGGCGTAAATACTTTGCTCCATCTAAGGGCTATGAGTTCCTATTCTGCCACCCGAGTCCATGCTCCCTAGTGGTTTTGGCAGTGAATGAAAAGGAGCGCCATGGGCAGCAGGCTCCGGCCCCTAAGGCCAAGGAGGCGAAACGCCTGGACCTTTTTGGTAGAAAGGTGTACTCATCTGGGGGCCTTCAGTTGAGGATTGCTAACCAGGCCATCCTCAACAGGCACAATTTCAACTCCTGGGAGGCCGTGGGGACGTTTAAGGACAACCTCCTGCAAGGTTCCCAACAGGAGTTCACGGCCCTGGTGGACGAGGGCAAGGCAGTAGCCAAGACCTCTCTCCAGGCCTCCTTGGATTCGGCAGACACGATGGCTAGAACAATTGCGTCAGGGGTGGTCATGAGGCGCTCGGCGTGGCTCCAGGAGTCAGGCCTGCCCCCCGAGGTCCTGAATA